GAAGATCAGCGGTCAAACAAGGGGGTCTTCGTTTTCTTGACGGATTTCTCTCTTTTTGTCGTTGCTGTGACACTGAACACCAGCGGTAACCTGTAAACTCTGTAAGATCCCATTCAGAGGAGGCGAAAGGATGCTCAGTGGTGCCCCAATGGCGAAAAGTAGAAAAATCCTTCAGGAATGCGCAAAGTAGTACCTCTTAATTGCCCACATTTTCGACCATGGATAAGCGGCGAGAAAGGAATTTGTTCGGGCGTGTTAACACTATCACGTCAAAATCCGCAGTGTTGATTGATAGGGCACTGGGGATGTTCCAAAATGAAAATCCAACAGCAAACAGCTCGCCCAAGTCACCAACTGAACTAGTGGGCGTAACGCTTTCGGGCGGAGTGCTTCGGAAGTCCTGCTCAGCAACCAGGGCACCTTTCGTCGTGAAAGCGCCACACTTCGCTTCCTTGGCAGCCAAGTACTACGTAGTTCATGTGGCGCATATACTCCGCCGATGCGGCCATTCCTCATCGTACTTTTAAAGGCAAACCCCGGGGTTAAACTGGTGCTATTAGCGCTTCGTGGTGAAAGCGTAAGCGTAGCCCCCTAACCGCGCAATTTTTGCGACGAAGCTGGAGTGATCTAGAGTAGACCTAACAATTTCCCTAGTGGTACCCTCTAAAGTCGAGTGTACCGGGGTTTTGCTTAAAGCGTCTGTCGATCTATAATTTGTGAGAGGATTATACCTCATCATGATCTTAAGACTGCAAGCCCAGTAAAAGTGCGGTGAGATTTGCTACTTAACCTGAACTCTTCAAACATATTTCAGATAAGAATAAAGTACATCAATATTGCTCATGGGATCTTTATTTACTCTACCCCGTCATACTCAAAGAATGAAGGTCATTGCGAAATTAGGACACTAGTGAAACTAGAAAAACATCATTGCTTTGTCGCAGAAGTCATGGAAAATGATTAATAATAGATCACTAACAATGGGCAGATTTCTCAATGCATTCAAGGCTGTCCAACGGAAATCATCGAAAGGTTGACAAGTAATGCCTTGATACAATGGAAAAGAAGTATTAACGGCGAACGAATCATAATAACACACGGAAGAATGACCTTGGAGGAAGACGTGCCATACTGGCTCAGAACGAGACGGACTTTTTGTCGAAATCTTCTCAATACGAGCGCTGCCTTTGCCTCACACCGACCTGTAGATAAGAGTTGCGTACAAGTCATTTGCCAGGGACATAATAAAATTGTTGTGATTAAAGGCAAAGTTCGGGCTCAGACCACTTAATGAGCCTTTACGGTGGCTAGAAGCGCTAGGCACGCAAGTATGGGTCGCGTCACTTCCCTACTTCGAAAACCGTTATTTAGACGCTAGGCTCTAAGAACTTTGACACGCTCCACCTGCTGCGACACGCTCCGCCCACCGCTCGATATCTTGACTGCGTCGGAATGTTGATCTGCTATGCTCTCTCTACTTAGACTTCTCTAGCGCTCTCCGCGCTCACATTATCTCTCATCTCCCTGCCGGCCTTTTGAACTTCTCCGCACCGTAGAGGAAATGGCTCGTATTTCCTAAGCATTTCACGATTTCTTTTTCTCTTTTCTGCACTGGCGGTCCACTACCTACCCCTACTTTCACATTTAAGTGGAATTAACTCATAATTCAATCCTGAATCTTGCCTTTAAAGGAGCAAAAATAAGTCGCTAGCTTTAATGAAGAGATTTTCTTCTTGAGTGTACCGCGCATTCTTATTTGATCTAAAATTAATCACAGCATGAAAGAGCACTTAAAGGCAGAATTTACGATGAAAAGTTAGCTCATTGGAAATAAGGGTAGAGGTGGTCAGTGGAGCAGGGATGAAGAAGAAACCATTTGAAACGGCCCGAAACCCGAGAAATGGAACCCTTCTTCTTGATCGCGGATTCTTCCCTTAACTTAACGGTGTTTAGGTGTGCTAGAGAAGGCGATAGAGTAGCGGGCAAGAGTGATCGGCGAGGCAATCCTTCATGCATTATTTGTTCTCAGCTGAATAAATTTAACTTCAAATTCACTTGCTATATTACTGCAATACTGCTACAATTTTTTTCAATCGGCGATTTGCGACGCATGCGATCCGCTGTAACTGTCGGCTCGCCAAAACTTCTGGAGAAATGGTGCACGCGATTTGAAAGTTACACTAACTGATAGCTCTGTTCCCGACGAGTTGAACGGTCCTTGAAGATTCCGATTTACTTCATCTCCCGTTTTATTTTTGAGGAATTTGTGTCTTTTTTTTTGAACAGAAGTTTTTTTTATCAGTGCTATATATCATTCGAAACGGAGCTGTGTGCCTGTAAAATGCATGGTGACTCTTCTATATTCACTGTAAACTGGCAGAAGGAGAGGTTTGCAATTGGGCACTACAATAGACAAAAAGTAGCCAAATCGACAACTAACTCAAACTCTGTGTTCCTTCCGCAGGAATCGATCAGCGATGAATAGCCTTCTCAAACATAGCCTCTCCTCAACATTCCTCCGCTGGATGCTTCAACAGTCTAATCCTCCATTTTCAAATTCCGCAATCCCAACTGACCGCTGTACCATGGTAGTTTTTTGAACCATAACTTTTCTTCTACAAATTATTGTTCCCACACTGCTTCATACATCGTTCGGAAGCTCTTCTTTTGCTTCATTCGAAGATATGCCGAAGATTCGATTTTCCCTTCGTTGTGGTTCGGAAATAAGGACTTAGGTAATAATGTGCCTAGTCAGTGGATGATGCATCCCTTCAAATTTTTTGCTCAAGGGTGCCGTAAAATCTCCTTCTCCGATATCCGTCGTGGTTAGCGTCTGATTCTGAACGTTCCATCAGTTTTTCAATGTCTCGGCGGCTCTAGCTGGAACAAGATAGCGGTAAACCACCGACATCTGGATGGGGAACCATTTTTGAAAGGGAACGACTGAAAGGGAGCTTGTGGACAAGCCAGCAGTACAGGGTGGCCAGAAATTACGGTAACAAGAGCGTACCGTGTACAATTCTAAGATTAAACGAAAGGGGTTTTGAGTATAGCTTTTGCGCATTTGATTCTATTGATACGATGTTCACTCTTTAATTTTACCACTCGGATTCTACCTAGTTTGGATTGTTTAAGCCTTTAGCTCTTCATGAAATAACGACCCGCTTGCTTCTTCAACATGTCTGGTGGTGTTAC